AAAAAAATCATCGGTGAACGAAACTGCTGCAGCCACAACCACTGTACGAAGAGTACGCGGTTATTACAGCTGACAATGATGATGATGATGATGATGATGATGATGATGATGATGATGATGATGATAATGATGAGATCGGAATAACAAGGCCGCAACATCCGGTTTCAACATGAGGACATTCCCCCTAACCAGTCTGTCGTGAATGTTAGTCACTCTCACTAACCAACAAAACAGAAACTTCTGACCGACACCAGCACTGATCAAGTCGGCTGAAATCTCACGGATTGGTTCTCTGACTGCCTTCAAACCTGATCAATCTGGTTACTTACTTGGCCTAACGAATATTAGTGTCAGAAGTGGAAAGTTGCCCAGCAATGAATTCGCCGGTTGCTTACCAATGCTCTCGGAAACGTGTCCCAAGTCATTTTGCCCTGCTCTTTCCAAGGCCGTCCCATTCCGCATGTGATTCTCCTTGATCTTTGTTCCTCAAAAGTCTGACGCCCCCCGACGAGCCTTTTGCATCATCTACTCTATCCAAATATCACCTTTTTGCCTCCAGTTTCCACGCAGAGGCCTCCACACTAACTGTCTCTTACAGATTTTCCGAAATGCTACAGTTTGGCACCATTGCTCATGGGTTCATCCCTACATTGTACTTGAAGGGACATGTTGTCTTTGTCAGTGCCCGTTTGTATTGTGTCCGGTGTCCCATACTCAGATATCCTCACAGTTCGCTAATCTTACTCCCGATCTGCGTGAGGTCGACTATGGGCAAAAGAAGACTTCGTGGAATTTCTGAATTGTCTCGCTTTGATTCACCATCGTCATTACGGCCTGCACCCATGAGTATTTTTTATGTTCCCGTAACTCCGGCTCACTCAGTATTTGTATGTTGCTGACGGAATATGCTGGGTTCCAGGGGAGTCTCTCGCAAAGCTAAATTAGTTTGCAAATGAGTGTATTTCGCTAATTTCGTTCAATGTGAGTTCAAGTAAAATACAAGGTTGACGGAAACTTGGGGACTGTCCCAAGAAGAGCGAAACTGATCATGGGCTGTCGAAGAATTTTCAGCAAACGTATGAGTAGTGTACTAACGTCTATGGGGGATGAATCTATGGTACCATTTCTGTTGTACACGGCCATCGGGAAGCTATTTATGCTTGATAACCGATTTTAGGAACTTCACTGTGGCATAATCCACTGCAAACATGCCTGCCCAGTAGCCCTCATGCATTCGTTCGAGGAATACGCCACTCACAACTCCGTTCAGGCTAACACAACCGACGACTTGGAATGATGGGGTGCGCGTCAGGTAATCTTGCACATTAAAGCAGTTTGTTGCACAATCGTTAAACTGATAAGAAGGCCACCTTCCTCTGGCCTTCGCGTAAAATAGTTTGTGCGTCCCTGCATATGTGATATAAATTTCGGCCTAACACATAAAGGAAACTACTCACAAGGTTGCTGAAAACTCTTCGACAGCCCACGACCGGTTTCGCCCTTCTTGGGGCTCATCAGGTAGGCTCAGTCCCCGAGTTTCCGTCAACCTTATGTTCTGCTTGAACCCGAATTGGACTGTTTCCGAGAAATACACTCATTTGCATCTCCCGAGATTCAGTTGAGTCTCTCGTGAAAACCAAATTGATTTGCAAGCGAGTATATTCCTCGGAAAAGTAGACTTAACACGTTTTTAGTTCGTCATGCAACATGCAAAGCCCACATAACTGTTCGTGGTTTTCTACAAATATGAAATAATTTTGTTTCACTGGGGCTATTCACTCAGCCAAAAGAAAAAATCATTTCAGACTATCATCAACCCGTTTGAATGCCTGAAAAGCACGAGCCGGAAAGATCTCATCGGAACATAACGTCGAACAACAAAAAGCAACGGGTAACGATCTGTTTGAGTGTTTTTTCCACTTTTTTTCCGGACGAATTCGTGTGGTTTCAGTCGAATCTCTTCAAACGCCTCGATGTATGACACATTCGTGTGCAAATGAGTGTATAGCTGATACAAATGGAAAACGTGAAACGTTATCAACTAAGCAAATTTCGATACGATATATTTTGGAAACCAATCCCCTATAGAGGTTACACTCAACCGTAAGTGGTCCTGGAGATAATAAGTTTACCAAAATTAATTTTCGTGTCATTCCAACTTCGTTTATTTGCGTGTTGCACAAAAAACTGGAATCTCCTTACTCACAGATTCTATCCGAAAACACGTGCAAAATTTGTACCAAACGGAGGGCGACCAATGATTCCAGCTTACTCGACTGCTCCGACCCGATTCTCTGTGAGCGTTTTGTTCTGCTATGCCCAACTGCACTCATGTGACTGGTTGAACTTTCATCGAAATTTTATAACTCTTCATCAGCGCAAAATCCAGTCAAATTTCGGTCTTTCCTGGAGTGGATTATATATGTGGATTTTATATATATGTAATGTACTACTCATAAGGTTGCTGAAAATCCATCGACAGCCCACGACCGGTTTCGCCCTTTTTGGGGCTCATCAGGTAGGTGCAGTCCCCGGGTTTCCGTCAACCTTGTGTTCTACTTGAAACCAAATTGCACGAAATTAGCGATTATGCACTCATTTGCAAACTAATTTGGTTTGCACAGGTGATGATAGCCATAATACAAATCAGGTGCATGCACTAATAAAAGTTTTTAACTGTGATTGACAGTTGTTTACAGGAGCGATTTATAGTATGTATAAAATAAAGAGCAATATAAAATGTGGATCAAGTCAACAGGGAACTTATCGTATGTGAGAGTCCCTTGGTGAAAGTCCGGACGGCGGGAACGTGTTTTCTCCGCAGCTGGCTGCTACACGTACTCCATCATTGTCCGTGGACTTGTGGAGAGGTTGACTTCCTGTTCTCTGCGCGCGCCCGAGACTGTGTGTGCTGACTGCGTTCGGTTCCCCTATATGTAGGTCCGTTTGCGCGTACGTGGGCGCGTCAGCTCATGAGTGGTTGGTACGGTGCAGACAATCGAAGTCTGATGAGTCACCTTAATGTGACGTGGTTGTGGGCATGAAAAAGAGGCAAGTCTTACGACCCAGTGAGCGACTGTGGGCTGAACAGTCAAGTGTGTGGGTGACTGGGTCGCTACAGGCTCACCTGGAACCCAGCTGAATCTCTCGTTTATGATGTTCTCAGGCGAGTGGATTATATATACAGTCCTCCGAACCTAGTCTCATGGTCTGACGAATCTTTTGTGCCCAGAGCAAAGCGTGGCCCAGAGACAAATCCACCAATTGTTTCCCGAGCTCTTCCGAAACGATAAATTCCACGAACTTTCATACAATTTTTAACACTTCATCAGGACAAACATCATTCAAAGTCCGGCCGTTCCCGGATGTCTTACCCGGTGGCCTGACGTACAGTCGCGTAAGCGAGTTCATTTAGGCGCTGCAGATATCGATGGTCTGTTGGGTTGAGATGACTGACGGAATGTCCCGGTGGTTTTCGTGATACAAAGTTTGATTTACCACGTTCCAACATGTCATGTGCAATAGTTGCACCAAACCTAACAAATCCTACCCATCGAATCAGGTGAGCAGGCGGATCGGTTTACAAATGAGAAGAGAAATTTCTTAACCTTTGCAGTGGATTTCCAAAGGTACGATCTGGAACTTTCTCAGATTACGTTGAATCGTTACCCCTGAGGGGAAGTTTGGTAGCCACTGATGTGAAGATTTCGTCGGGCTATTACCCGCGGTTTGCTGGCAAGCATTTAACCACTAGTTTCGGTGACACGTTTACTCAGCAGAGGGACCGAAGAACGTAATGATATTTTACACAGACACAATCACCATGGATTTCGTTTGAAGCGTAAACATGAATTTTTTGATAAGTTTGTCTCACTGCCAGAGGATGAATAAAGATAGAACTCTAGTCAACTCAGAATAATGCTCTATACACAGATCCCTTCTCACCAATCCGCCCACGTTCATAATCGTGCAGTAATACTAGTTATACTACTGAAAGGAAGAAAACCTTCGCTGCGGAGTTATTTATTAAAAAATAACAACTGATCAGCTACAGACTATTGGACAGGGAAGCAAAACTTTCATATGCATCGGGTTTACAAAAACTGAACATCCATCTTCGCTTGAACGCATCTTCTGGACTTTCCTGGATATTCGTTGACTGTTGCTCAAATCCAAGCAAATGCTTAAAAGCGACTCGACAAATTCCGCAAGGGATCTCCCTTTTCAAGAGACGCCAAGAGAATTTACAAGAAGAAACCATACTACTCGCATGCCACCCCATCAGCAGTATCATCGCATATACATACGTGAATGGTCCGCCTCAATACTCTTGAGTATCTGAAATATTAGCCAACAATATCCATAGAGGTTACTCCCTGTGATCATCCCAGCACAGGCCAAATTCTACAGTGGTTGTTACTAGACAACCACATGCGTGCAGATGGGTGCGCTTCATGAATTATTGGGGGCTACGGGATCGATTTTCGATTGCACTTTTTCTCAGACTTTCAGATGTCCAAACTTAACCATTGCGTGCCGCCATTTGAGCGCACTGGTGGCCCCAGAACTGTTCACCCCAGTCTTATTCCCTGGGATTTATACTGGCTACGGGACGGTCAGATTGATGCGAATACAGCTCGCCACAAACCGCATGTGACACTGTCCGTGTGCACGGAAGTCCATTGGTTTTGCTCATTGGGAGGTGTCGATCTCGGAACAGATATTAACCAGCTACACGCGGATTAAATAAGTAAGCTCAGCACAACCAACGAGTTAGAGAGCGTGTGATTTAGGGCAGTTTAATCAAGGATAAAACGGTTCTCCGCTGCCTCATTAGCAAAGAAACTAGCATGAAAATCAGAATTAGTACGAAGGTAATGAATAAAGCTTGCTTTCTTTGATTCGTCCCACCAGCCAACACATGACATATTCATGTGATCCGCGACGGAAATCCAATATGCCTATGTAGATATACTGGGGAACGGGAAACAAGTATGCACAAGTCACACAGTCGAACTAATTAAATCATTCGATCGGATGAAAAATGATTGGAACCGTTTGAGTAGTGATCGTTTTCGAGGCATATTTATTGCTGGGCAACATTTCGCTTTGGACACAAAAGCTTCGTCAGGCTAAATGACTAGGTTTCGAGGTTCGTCGAGATTTAAGGCGGAAGAAATAGGATACCCAGTGAGTTTGATTAAGCGTCAACTAACACAGATATTGGCTCCAGTATCTGGACCCAGTAATGAATGAATTGACACAACAGTCATTCCGTATAAAGCAGGAACATCGGAGGTTATTCGAAGACTGTCGAACGTAGCCATTATTCGAGTAGCTTTTTAGAAGGGAAAAACTCTACGCTCAGTTTTGGTGCATTTGAAAGATACCATCCCAGTTGAAAGGTCTAGGGACTGTATAAATAAAATCAATTGTAAAGATTGAACTAAGGTGTACATGGGACAAACTGCCAGGGGGGTTGCACACCAGAATAGGCGAGCATAAAAGAAGGATAAACAAACCACCAAAGAATACAGAAGAATAACAAATGCTGGTCAAAGACTCGTCGATAGCGGTACATGCTATGGACATTGGAGAGTGTGGAAGTTTTAAGATTCACATCACGGTGGAAATTACTAAGCATCACAGCGTGGATAGAATCGAGGGTGTGGAACTGGCGAGCGTATGCAAAGCGGTC